CTTTGTCTCTCTGTCATACCACGGTGGATGTCACGGGGGGTTTCAGTGCTTCAAGTAGCACGTTTTGCCTGTTTTCTTCACTGACGCTCCTAATCCGGATTGTTGTCTGCTTCTCGAGCAAAATAACACACCACTTCGATCCCGACTCGTGCCTTTGACGTCAGCCATGCATGCATAGGATAGGCTGAGCAACGTATGAATCCAAGAGCTCTTTTGAAATCTGTGAGAATTTGAAGTCTAACCGCTTGATAGTCCCACGTAACTGTGTGGCTTAGGTACGAAGTTCTCTACAGTTCTACAATGTAACCCATGCCCATGTATTCTGAGCATCGTCTCATAGCAAGCATTTGACGCTATATTCCATTGACTTCACCTTATGTCATGCAAAAACTCGTTTTCCGATTTCTCCCGAAGGTACAATACCGCACTTTTGGGAAACGAAGCGACTATTACTTACAAGGCCCGTGACTGTGTTTTCGATCAAATTAATTTTTCTTGCTGAAAAGGGCGTCTTCATCTTGACGTCTGACCACGTCAGAGGAGAGGAAGCTATATTGCGATGTGAAAGGAATTAGAGAGAATTCACTTACCAAGCCTTGTTTGATAAAGTACTGCATGAAGTATACGGTACCAAAAGGAATCATGTACTTTAGGAGGCTCTGTAAAATTGCTACAATTCCAAGCTTTCCGAAATTAAGTGAAGGTGCGATAAGAATTGTCCTACCTTGACCACCAGAAGTTGTTCGTGAAGTGGACGGTTTTGAGCTTCTAAACTGTTGACGTCTCTGCCATTTTTGTCAGGGGCAGACGATTCCGAGTCTGCTCTTGTTAAATCTCTACTAAAATATAGAACTTGAAGAATATTGTGGAGCAGAACGTTCTGAAAATCGTGGGATTTTCCACGTACTCGTACGGTGTGGAGAAATCCAACCATGTTGATGGTTTAGTGACACTAATCGCGGGTATCGTCGGCGCTCGCACGAGAATGAGGTAGTACCTGAATGGCGGAAATGAGTTCCCCATCGTTCATTTCATGTTAACCCGAAGAACAAATAGGCTTACGAAAAAGTGAAGGATATGGGTACAACAAGCATCACTAGCATGGCGTTCGTCGGTGTCAACGCCAGCAAATTGTCATCTGTGAGCACAGCATACGAGAAGGTCCCAGCGAATCCAGCCATTCCCGATCCCGATGACCAGGTTGAGATCGCATTTCTGGAAGAAAGTAGGTTGTTGAGTTGGCAGGATTTTTGGTTTAAGCTTGATGAACTGCAGCCAGCTAAAGAAACCAGCCACGCATAGCCCAACAATGAGGTCGAATGTGGTAAGTCATGGTATCGATCACCGTTCAGTCCAGTCAGACCTTCATAATCATGAATTACCATATTCGTCTAGGAGGATAGCAACTGTGATCTACACTTGGTCCAATCTTAAAATTACTTATGCACATATGTACAAATTTGTGCTTATTCTAATGTCAGCACGAATCTGAATCGACATCACATGCGTGGGGTGCACCACGACTATCGTGAAGGCGACCATAATAAGTAATACGGTAGGGAACTTTACTTTCTATATTTCCAATATTTTCCTTTCTTTTCGTTATCTAGTGGCTGATCAGGGTAGAATGTTGTCCAATAGCTAATGCAAGCTTTCAGCTTATCTTGCGTTGATCTGAGACTCACAGAAATGTTACAGAAATGTCAACTCGGAGCGTCCGTATAAAGAACTTTCGAATCGTCCGCTCCAGCTCTTGCTACTGTGGCCTCGACTCAGCTGCTCTCAATAAGCTACTCGACTTCGTTCAAGAAAGTTGTATTCGATTTGCTAGCAATAGATTTCTGTAAGGTAAAATTCAATAAAACTGGTTGCTTTTCTTGGGCAGTTTCCAAGAACCGCGTGGCACTCAAGAATTTGAGTTTAGGCGAGCAAGAATCAAGACTGCCTCAAGACATCAAGACCGGTCAAGGGAATCTATAACGACCAAGTGATAAATGATTACTGATGAGCGCTCTGCTCTCCATTCTTTATACGAAACCTGATTTCATCATCGCATAAGGTTGATCGAATTTCGCTTTTCGTTTTTATCATTCTCGTTATGTTCGCATGTAAGTCTTACAATGAAATTTGATTGTCGAAAAGGATTCTAGGCCAAAGACTGGATGTCATTTGATTATGTAGCTCAACCTTTTAGCACAAGTAATTTCCACAGCTATACAGACTTAGCTTTCGCGGGCCAAGACCGAAAGCAAAACTCAGGCGGAAATTGGAGAACGGGAAGTTGGAGCAAAACGGCGTGGGGAGTGGAGGGCAATCCCTAACTGCCCTTCTCGCGGTGGCACCAAGAGGCTAATGCGATGTGATTGTGGTCTTGCTTCATACCACTGCAATCCCACGTGATGC